CGGCATGGTGGCACATGCCTGTAGTACCAGCTACTCGGGAGGCTGAGGCAGGAGAATCACTTGAACCTGAGAGTCCGAGGTTGCAGTGAGCTGAGATCCTGCCACTGCACTCCAGCCTGGGTGACAGAGCAAGACTTCGTCTCAAAAACCAAACAAACAAACAAAATAATCTGTTCTTTTTGCTATTTGAAAATCGTCAATAAATTGGTGCTAATTATAATAGTCACCCTAGGGTGCTATAGAACACTGGAGAAGTTCAACAACATTCATTAAGCTCTTTGTGTTAAGCACTGTGTGACTCCAAAGATAAGCAAGGTGACAAAAACAAGCAATGGAGAAAGGACTCCCCATTCAATTAATGGTGCTGGGATAACTGGTTAGCCAAATGCAGAAGATTGAAACTGGACCCCTCCTTACACTATATACAAAAATCAACTCAAGATGAATTAAAGACTTAATTGTAAAACACAAAACTATAAAAACCCTGGAAGACAACCTAGGCAATACCATCCTGGACATAGCAATGGACAAAGATTTCATAATGAAGATGCCAAAAGCAAACACAACAAAAGCAAAAATTGAGAAATGGGATCTAATCAAACTAAAGAGCTCCTATACAGCAAAAGAAACTGTCAAAAGAGTTAACAGACAACCTACAGAATGGGAGAAAAAATTTGCAAATTATGCATCTGACAAAGGTCTAATATTCAGCGTTTATAAGAAATTTTAAGCAAATTTACAAGAGAAAAACAACCCCATTAAAAAGTGGACAAAGGACATGAAGAGACAGTTTTCAAAAGAAGATATACATATGCCCAACAAGCATATGAAGAAAAGCTCAATATTACTGATACTGAGAAATGCAAATGAAAACCACAAAGAGATGCCATCTCACACCACTCAGAATGGCTATTACTAAGAAGTCAAAAAATAACAGATGCTGATGAAGTTGTGGAAAAAAGGGAACACTTATACACTGTTGGTGGCAGTATAAATTAGTTCAACCATTATGGAAAGCAGTGTGGTGCTTCCTTAAGGAGCTAAAAGCAGAACTGCCATTCAACCCAGGAATCTCATTACTGAGTATATAACCAGAGGACTATAAATCATTCCACCATAAAGACACATGCACGTGAATGTTTATTTCAACACTATTCACAATAGCAAAGACATGGAATCAACCTAAATGCCCGTCAATAATAGACTGGATAAAGAAAATGTGGTACAAATACACCATGGAATACTATGCAGCCATAAAAAATAATGAGATCATATCTTTTATAGGAACATAGATGAAACTGGAGGCCATTATCCTTAGTAAACTAATGCAGAAATAGAAAACCAAATACCACAAGTTCTCACTTATAAGAGGGAGCCAAATGATGAAAACGTATGGATACATAGAGGGGAACAACACACACTGGGGCCTATTGGAGGGTGGAGGGTGAAAGCAGCAAGAGCATTAGAAAAAATAACCATTGGGTACTAGGCTTAGTACCTAGGTGACTAATCTGTACAACAAACCCCCATGACACAAGTTTACCTGTATAACAAACCTGCACATGTATCCCCCAAGCTAAAATAAAAGTTTTTTAAAAAGATAAGCAAGACACATTCCAGCACTTCCAAAGCCTATCTGCAGATGAGACAAGCCAACAAATGACTAATATAATCAATAAAGATACAAGATATAATAAAGAAAAGAAGAAAGAAAAATATACAAAGATCTTGAATTTGGGCACCCCCTATGTGGGAGTCACTTTTGTCTCTATTATCTCATTTAATGCTCACAACAATCCTATGAGATCGCCATTTTGTAATCCTATCTTATTGATGAGAAAAACTGCAGAGGCCATGGCCACACAACTAGCAAGTGGAGGAGTCCCAGCCTGCTTGGCTCCAAAGTGCATGCTCTTTCCCTTTCAACCTGCCATCTCCCATAGTGCCACAACAGAAGTATGAAAAGAGTGCTGCTTGGCAGGGGGCAGTGGCTCACGCCTGTAATCGCAGCACTTTGTGAGGCTGAAGGCTGGCGGATCACCTGAAGTCGGGAGTTCGAGATCAGCCTGACCAACATGGAAAAACCCCGTCTCTGCCAAAAATACTAAATTAGCCGGGCATGGTGGCAGATGCCTGTAGTCCCAGCTACTCGGGAGGCTGAAGCAGGAGAATTGCTTGAACCTGGGAGGCAGAGGTTGCGGTGAGCTGAGATCATGCCATTGCAC